ATTCTTTAGCATTGCATAGTATTCCATTGTGTGTATGTACCATAGTTTGGTTATCCATTCCTCAGTTGTTGGACATCTAGGTTGTTTCCATGTTTTGGCAATTGTATTATTTTTATGTATGAATTCATCAAACTCTGCCCCTCCACATGCCTGCTTCATGCAGGTTCTTGCTAGTACCCTCGCAGAGCCCCTCGTCTGGGGAAGATAAAGCCAGTCATGGGCACCTCGAGATCTGTGGGATCAGAGCTGAGCCAGAGGGAGAAACTGCGGTTGAAGATGCCAAACAGAGAGTCAGGCTCTTGCTGAGAGATCAAAGAAGGCTTTCCAGAGGATGGATCATTTGAGATGGGTTTTAAAGGAAGAATAGGAGTTTGCCAAGGAAGATCCTAAGCTTAGTTTGGGACTTGTTGGATCTAAGGGGGTATTTGAGGGGCCAGGGGCTATCACAGAACAGGAGACCATTAGAAACACAAGAAGAATGAGAGACGGTTGTACCAAAAATCCAGAAGCTTAGAGCATCCTGGAAGAGCAAGTGAAAGGGAAACAGGAAAATTCCCAGCAGCTCTCAGCTGAATAAAAGGGACTTTTCTTTCTTCTCTGGTGTAGCATTTTCACCCTACAGAGGCTCCTGGGCCGTCTCTGAGGTGGGAATGTGGGAAAGACCAGGTTGGATGAGGAAACTCTAGGTACATGGAGTCTGGGAACCCACTTGATGTCTCCATGTCTTGGTGTTTTCTCTAACAATGAAGTAGTGGCAAAAATATTTAACCATCGAGAGTCTGAGGCAACATCGATTAGGCTGATGGAGAGGGTCCTGCAGGGACTGATAGAGGTGAATTTCAGCATTTTACCAACCTGAGCACCTGTATAGGTGCAACCAGCCACTGGGGTCAATAGGGGTGTGTATGAGTGTCCTGGGGCTGCTGTCACAAAGCCTCACAAATGGTGGCTTAGAACAACAGACTGTATCTGCTCACAGTTCTGGAGGCCAGGAGGCCAAAATTAAGGTGCCAACGGGCCACGTTCCCTCTGGAGACTCTCTCCTTCTTGTCTCCTCCAACCTCTAGTGGCTCCAGGTGTTCCTGGGTTGTGGCCACATCTCTCCAGTCTCTGCCTCCATTGTCACATGGCCTTCTACATGGCCTTCTCCCCTGTATGTGTGTCCGTGTCTCCTCTCTCTCTCTTTTTTTCTTTTTTTGCAATATTTTATTATAGCAGTGTTATTTTATTGTGGTGAAAATAAAACAAAACATCCACTGTCTCAGCAATTTCTACCTGTACAATTTGGTGGCATTGATTGCATTTGTCAAGTTACACCCATTCTTGATATCCTTTTCCAAATCATTTTACCTCCGTTAACAGAAATTCAGTGCCCCCTAAGCAAAAACTAGCCCCCCACACACGCCTGGTACTCACTAATCAACTTTGGTTTCTGTGTATTTGCTTATTTCGTGTTAAGTGAGATCATATGGTATTTGTCCTTTTGTGACTGACTTTTTTTCCACTCAGCATGATGTTTCCAAGGTTCGTCCATACAGTGGCATGCGTCAGGACTTCACTTCTCTTTGTGGCCGAGTAGTAGTCTGTTG